AAGCACAATAAAAGAAGCAAGCAGGATTGTGCTTTTATTGAGTGGGGACTGTCCAGTCACTGGATGAGCAAAGCACAAAATGATCTAGGGGACTACAAACCAGCAAGGCTTCAACTCCCAGTAAAGACCTGGAAGGCATTGGGCACTTGGGTGGCTCAGATGGTTAAGCGTCTGCCTTCGGCTCAGGTCATGATCCCAGGGTCCTGGGATCGAGTCCCACATCAGGCTCCCTGCTCCTTGGGAGCCTGCTTCTCCCTCTGCCTCTCTCTCTCTGTCTCTCATGAATAAATAAATAAAATCTTTAAAAAAAAAAGACCTGGAAGGCATTTAGGGCAGTAAGGAAGTCAAGATGAGGAGTTGGTCCTGGGGCCCTGAGCTCTGGACGAGCCCTTTCAGAGGTTCCCACCCTCTCTCTTGGACTCCACACGGATCTCTAGATAGCCAGCTTTGCAAGGCTGGAGTCTGCCTTGCTCCACTCATGCTGCTGGCCCCCAGCACAGAGCTCACACAGCATGGGCACTCAATAAATATTTGCTGGGTGAATGAATTTCACCGATTAACACTCATGAGCGTATCAGCTGGGATTAGGCTTGGCAAGAAAGGAGCCCAGGACAAGGAAATGCTGCTGGGGGTGGAGCTGGGTGGGGGCTTTGGGTAGCTCAAGGCTACTGAATATTGGGGAGTGGGAGACTGACCTAGGGTTCTAAAGTCATTGTGTAAGGTAGGTCTCCAGAGGCTATGTGAAGGCCCCAAGTCCTAATTTCATGGACAGTAAAGTTCTTTGTCTAGGAAGCTGTCCTAAAACTCCAAATGTTCTGAGAGAAGAAGAGAATCTGCCCCTGTTCGTGTTTACAGGAATTCCTCCTGTCCTGGGTAATTTTAGAGATACCAGCCCAGGCCATACCCCTCCCCAAAAGGATGACCCTCTGGCAGCTGTGCTGGTGGAAGGTATGACCTGTGCCCCTTGGCTACAGGTCATCAGACCACGAACAGTTCATTGGACATCTGACCCAAGCCTGGAAACTTTGAATTGGGTCTCTAAGATAGCTGGGGCCTTGGAAGAGAGAGCATGTAAACTGAAAGACAAGGGCACAGAAGATACAGAAAGGGCTACAGAAGGAGGGGAATGGAGGAGACCCATGGGAGAGGCAGGGGAAGAGGCCATCCGTCCCAGAGAGGGGATTGAGAGGTGCTGTGTCCACTCGCTGAGCCTGGCTATTTATTCTGCTTTGGGACCGTGAGAGGCTTCTTTGATCTTAGGATATCAACCCCCCACCCCCAACACACACACACATTCTCTCCTTGCCCGAGCCAGCTCAGATAAGTTTCTGTTACTTGTGATCAAATTACCTTCCTAATCACGAGTGCCCCTTATATGAAATTCTAGGGTATGGAAATTTTCTTCTGTGTACCTTCTTAAAAACCGCAAGTGTAAGAGTTATAAAGTCCGTTGAGACACTGTGGTAAGAATAGTTAGAATAAGAAAGAATGGGGAATCCGTGAAAGAGGGGAGTAAAGCAATGGCAGAGCAGGCCAAAAGCAAGACAAGAAGGAAGGTCCAGGAAAAGAAACTTTGGTCGTGGCCCTGGCCGAGGAGCTGTGTCAGGGGACCGAGGACCCGGCAGAGCCTCGCAAGTGCACTCCTGGTCCCCTACAGGCTCGTGGATGGAACCAAGGCTGGAAGATCTTGGTGTGTTGGGCAAGCGAGACTTTTACCCAAATTCAAATAAGAGATCCCTTAGCCTACCCCGGGAAGGGCATCAACCTCAGTAGGAAATCAGAGTGACCTTGAGCATTTGCAGGAGACCCCCCCAGAGAAAAGAGAACAATGACATTCATCTACTGGAGCTCTGGAGGAGGAGGTTCTGACATTTCTGGGGAGCCAAAATAGTAAAAGGTGATTGATTGTACCATATCCATTATTTATCATTTAAGGTGTGTGAAATGTTACTGAGAGTCTTCAATTAGCATGTGGCTTTTATTGTTTTGTTTTAGTGACTATAAATGCAGTAAAGTGAAGAATCGTGATTTAAAATAAAAAAAGACAGTTGCTGCTTCTCCTGCCGAGGCCATCGGGGATATGGGGGGCCCTGAGTCACACAGGGAATCCTGACATGGCCTGCAGAGGCCCATGGGGAGGGAGAAGGGGGAGAAGGCAGCATCAAGCCTCTTTCAGGTCTTTGAGGTTGCTGAAGGGCTAGACTTAAAGGAGATGGTCTCCGTGTTTAGGTCAACCCATTATGTGGCCTCAGCTGCATGAAAATGGGCCCTGAGTCAAGGAGGGGCGGGAAGAGAAATTGATGTGACTGAAAAGTGAGGGGACTGGGTGTGTGTGTGAGGAGGGGGCTCAGCGCTGAAAGCAAGGAGATGTGAGGGAACTCGGGAGGGGACAGGGGCTGGGCAGGAGGCCCCCAAAATATGGTAAGAGGCTGGAAGTGCAGAGAAAAACACTCAGTGGGAAATTTCCAGTGGCCAGAGGATTTTTAAGAACAGGGATGTCTAGTATCTCATTTTTAAAAATTGTGTATCTCTGCAACGTTAAACTTGGTTCCGAACCTCTGGCAAAGCCTGCCACTCACATGTATGCCATATGTAACCAATTTGGGGGGAACCAAAGAAGGTCTGAACTCCATGCCTGAGCTGGCCTGGAGGTGAAGGCAGAGGACAGGTATAGGAGGTGAAACACAGGGAGATGACAAGCCCACCAGGGAGGGACTTGAAGCCAGGGTGACACTGAGATTGGCAGCCCCTGGGAATACACAGCAATTTCGGCAAAGACGTGGACCTCCCCCAGGATGAGGCCATGGAGACTAGAGTCCACTTTAGCTAATTCTCCAGGAATAAGGTAAACCTGGCTAATGCATGGTTTATGAAAACTTTCTTTATTAGGATCCTCATTGGTTCACTTGCAAACTTGAACTCTCAACCCCAAATTCCCCTCAAGGTCTTAAGGTCACTAACTCAGGATTCTCTTCTAACAGGATTTTTTGTTTGTTTTTAGAATAGCTCTCATGGCTGGGGAGGGAATGCTATATATGTTGATAATTCCAGGAGATCCAGGTTTTAAAGTGTCAAAGTACAAGAAGAGAAAGAAAATACATGCTTCCTTTGGGAAATATATTTTAATTTGCTTTCCTGCCTGACCCCCACCCCAAAGGGGGCATATAAAGTCTAGAACGATCCTCATTCTTTCTCCTTTTCTGTTTTCCTTTCCCCCGTCTCTCTCCAAGTTGTATCCTTCCAAGACACAAATCTGTAAGGTACACAAAGGCAAGGAAGCCACCCCATTTTAAAGCTTCAAACTCTAAAAGAACCCTAACCATCTTTGCACCTATGCTGGAAATTGCCTGTTTCAGGAACTATTCATGGAGGAGACGCTTTAGAGACACATATGTGTTCTGTCCCAACCCTTGCTCCTTCCTCATCAGAAATGGGAACGGAAGGCCACATGAAATATATCCTTGATCCTAAGGCCTTGGAATGAGGCTCAATATGAGGCTCAAATGCCTGACTGAAAAACAGCCTTTCTCTCTTTTACTGCTCCTCTTGGGGTGGTTTTGATCTTCTGATGACCCCAGAGTTAATACCGGGCAAGTAGAAGAAGACCTTAATAATTTTTCACATCCCTCCCACCAGAAGGATCTCATAAGCCCTTGGTACCAATGAGGACATCCAAACCAAACCAATATCCACTTGTAGAGGAAAAAGATTTGGGGTCCTTGCTCTTAAATTGGGTTAATGTGTATTAGTTGAACTAATATCTATTAAGTGCCTACCACATACCTACCATGTTATTTGTTTCTTCTCTGCCTCAGGAGGAATCCAGCAAACTCAATTTTAAAAGGGGACCTCATCCCTAAATGTGGGGGAGGTGGTGGGGTTATAGGAGAATGCCCCAAAAAGGGAGGGTGAGGCATCCAGATCCAACATGGGGAGCAGGAGGTCTTCCCCGCAGGCTTGCTCTTCTCTGGGTCTCTGATGTTTCCACGCCTGAGCTGGCCCAGGTATGCATGCATGGCTTCATCTGTGCTCATCTCTTAACGCTAGACAGCTCCAAAGGACTCCCATTAACCCATCTCCCACATAGACACGTTTACTCTAGAAAAGCCACAGGACTTGGTAGACTTGGTGCCAAGGAGAGCAGTTGTTCAGGGCAGCTGCAAGGTTGGGGGTGACTCAGTTGGCCTTTGGGAGCATGTATGTCAGATCTCTTCCTACAGGGATGCTGAGACACTGTTACTGCCTCTGACATTCCTTTGAAGGTTTAGATGGGAAAATAACTAATTTTGCCTTGCTCAAGACAGTGGAAATATGTAATAGAGACCAATGAAATACCATTTATTGGGCAGATTTAGAATATGCTGGGGTGAAATCATGTCCCTAGAAACAGAAAAGTCTCAAAAGAATAAAATGTCATAGCTGGGCTCCAAGGATTCCAGTCTTTTCACTTAAGACTGATACTTTTCTTTCCACAGGAAGGAACAAAAGACTGATTTTTAATCAGCCCAGAACTGATTTCTACAGCAGCAGCAGGCCTCAGGGGATTTGCTGACTTGGGAGAGAGCTTCCCAGGGGTCTGCAAGCTACCACGCAGGTGCCTAGACAATTCTGTACCATTCCTTCAAGCTCAGGTGAGGAAAGAGGGTGGAGGTAATGTGATGTGGAATTCAGTTTACTGAGCACAATGCCTCCTGCCAAAGTGTCATATTTGTGGTTAGGGCAATGGCTGTGTGGCCCCTAAGAATTTGGAAGTGAGGAAAATAATTAAACGATGAAATCAGCTTGGAATGGATCAGAGCAGAAGACTCAAAGTCCCCAGAGAGAGAAGAGGCTCAGGCTGACTAAAGGTGTCCCTGGGCAGGGAGGTCGGTCTGTGGGGGTGGCAGAGCACAGGGCGCTGAGAGCCCTGACCCCAGTCTCCAGAGAATCTCCCTGCCCTGTCGCCCCATCTGGGCTCCCCAGCAGGTGGCTCCCGCCAAATGCACCCCTCAAGAACTCACGGGTCCTGCTGACATGATCCACATTGCTGTCCCTGCTGCTTCCCCTGCTGCCCGTGCCAGTCAGCTCCTGCTGTGGTTTTTCTGGCTGCAGGCCCCAGCAGACTTTTTGCAGGCCCGGAAGATGTCCCTGCTGGTCTCTCTTCCTTTGAGGGTAACTGGGGACTGAAAGCCCAATGTGGATGGAACGGCAGTCTGTGGGCAGAGCACAAAAGAGCGGGGGAGGCAAGGATTACTGAAAATGGGCATTTCTCCTTAATATCCTCCAGTTACAAAGAGCTAGGGCCACCAAAGCAGAATGGGAGACATGGGATTCCTGGCCAGGGCCACTGCCCCGAGTCTTGGGTTTGATGGAATTCCATTTCTGAACAACTCAACAGTTGCTGGAAACGATACCCTTGGTGCTGTAGTTAGAACTCAATGAGAGTGAACAGAATTCCCATCACTCTGTTCTTGCTTGTCCAGAATGGCAGTAACCGCATAAGGCTTATGACACATGGCCTGGGAGAGAGTCCCTCTGTGAGTCACAGATTTAGTCCAAAACGCCAACGCCCCCTCTTTGGGAAAGCCCTACGTATTTTCATCGAGGGCTACTTTTACTCACAACCAAAGACTACATAAACTACTTACCAGAAGAGTGAGTTACTAAGGATTTCTCAAAACTGGTTTTGTATACTAGAATTTTCAAGAACTGGAATCACCAAGAACCTTAATTTCAAATTCCACTAAGAAGCCTGGCTGCTCTGTAAAGCCCCCACTGGATCTTTGCACACAAAAAGTAGCTGCAATTCTCTCAGCTCTCAGGATGGACGTTCTGCCATCAGTGTTTCATCAGTGTTGGCTTGAACTGGACAACAGTTTTTTAAATAATCAATAGATTTAGTTTTATGTTTACAGAATAATTGAGCAGATAGTACATAGGAACTTGGACTTCCATCCTACCACTACCAGACCCCCACTCCACAAACAGTTTCTCCTATTATTTTTTATTGAGGTGTAATTGACAAATAACATTGTACTAGTGTAAGGTGTACAACATACTAATTTGATAGATGTATATATTGCAAAATGATTGCCGCAAGAAGCCTAGTTAACATCCATCACCCCACATAGCTGCACTTTTCGTCTTGCAATGAGAACTTTTAGGATCTACTCTCTTGGCAACTTTCAAATATACAATAAGATTGCTACCTATACTTACCATGCTGTACATTCCATCCCCAGAACTTATTTATCTTGTAACTGGAAGTTTGTAACTTTGACTACTTTCACCCCTTTTGCTCACCCCCAAGCCCCTGCCTCTGGCAACTACTAATCTGTTCTGTTTCTATGAGTTTGATTCTTTAGATTCCACATATAAATGAGATCATACAGTATTTGTCTTCTCTGTCATTGCCGAGACTGCCAAGGAGCTAACCCTCTGTGTTTTCTTCTTGGAATGTTGTTGTTTCAGGTCGTACATCAGACTTTTACCCATTTTGAATTGTGTGTATGTGTGGTGTAAGATAGTAGTCCAATTTTATTCTTTTGAATGTGGCTGTCCAGTTTTCTCATCAGAGAGATCATCTTTTCCCCATTGTATATTCTTGGTTCCTTCGTCATAAATTGTAAATAGAATTGTTTTCTTAATTTCTCCTTCTGTTATTTCATTATTAGTATATAGAAATGTACCTTTTTGTATTAATTTTTGTATATTGATTTTGTATCCTGCAACTTTACTGAATTTGTTTATTAGTTCTAACAGTGTTTTGGTGGAGTCTTTAGGGTTTTCCGTATATATTTATCACGTCAAATAGAAACAGTTTTACTTCTTCCTTTCTAATTTGAATGCCTTTTATTTCTTTTTCTTAACTAATTGCTCTGGCTAGGACTTCCAGTACAATGTTAGATAAAAGTGGTGAGAGTGGGCATCCTGACCTTGTTCCTGATCTCAGAGGAAAAACTTTCAGCTTTTCATTGTTGAGTATGATGTTAGCTGTGAGCTTGTCATATATGGCCTTTGTTACGCTGAGGTACATTCCCTCTATACTCAAGTTTGTTGAGATTTTTGATAATGAATAGATGTTGAATTTTGTCAGATACATTTTCTGCACCTATTGAGATGATCATATGATCTTTATCCTTCATTTTGTTAATTGGGGTATACCACAATGATTGATTTGCAGGTTTTGAACCATCCTTGCACTCCTGAAATAAATTCTACTTGATCATGGAGCAAGACCATTTTAATGTATTGTTGAATTTGGTTTCCCAATATTTTGTTGAGGATTTTTGCACCTTTGGTCATCAGAGATATTGGCATGTAATTTTTTTTTCTTGTAGTATCCTAGTCTGTTTTTGATATCCAGGTAATGCTAGTGTCATAAAATGAATTTGAAAGTGTTCCCTTCTCTTCTATTTTTTTGTAAGAATTTGAGAATGATTAGTATGAATTCTTATTTAAATGTTTGGTAGAATTCACCAGGTAAGCCATCTGTTCCTGAACTTTTGTTTGTTGGGAGGTTTTTCATTATTGATTCAATCTCCTTACTAGTAATTGGTCTGTTCAGGTTTTCTATTTCTTCAGTATTTATTTTTGGTAAGTTGTATCTTTAGGAATTCATCCATTTCTTCTAAGTTGTCCAAATTGTTCTCATATAATTGTTCACGGTAGTCTCTTTTGATCTTTTGTATTTGTGTGCTTTCAGTTGTATGTCTTTTCTTTCATTTCTAATTTTATTTATTTGAGTCTTCTCTTTTTTTCCCCTTGATAAGTCTAGCTAAAGATTTGTCTATTTTGTTTGTCTTTTTATTTTTTATTTATTTTTAAAGATTTTATTTCTTTATTTGACAGAGAGAAACCAGTTCTTAGTTTCATTGATCTTTTCTATTGCCTTTTTAGTCTCTATTTTACTTGTTTTTTCTCAGATCTTTGTTATTTCCTTCCTCTATTAACTTTGGGCTTAGTTTGTTCTTCTTTTTCTAGTTCCTTGAGGTGTAAAATTAGGTTGTTTACTTGGGCTCTTTCTTTTTCTTAATGTAGACATTTATTGCTATGAATAGATTACCCTATTATTAACAACTTGCATTAGTGTGGTACATTTGTTACAATTAATAAACCAATACTGATGTGTTATGATTAACTATAGTGTATTGTTTACATTAAGTTTCACTCTTAGTGTTGTATAGTTTTACGGGTTTTGACAAATGCATGATGACATGCATCTACCATTACAGTATCATACAGAATAGTTTCACCAGCCTAAAAATTCCCTGTGCTTCACCTACTCATTGCTCCCCTTCCTGAATACTAAAGCTACTTTCCTCCTGGACCTTTACACTTTGTTCTCTTTTCTTTTTTTCTTCTTTCTGAAGAGAAATGAGAATGGGTGGGGTAAAATGAGTGGGAAGATCTTTTTCTCTGCTTATGTGAACTGCAGCAAGAATGTTTGAGAGCTACTAGTTTAGGATAAGTTTGAGCCTGAAATTCCATGGTGACAATTTTCCAAAGAGCAGGCTGGCCAAAAATATTATTGTAACTACAGTAGTTCCCCCTTTCCACAGGGGATATGCTCCAAGTTCCCTAGTGAAGGCCTGAAACTGCACATAGCACTGAACCCTATATATACCATTCTTTTTCCTACACATACATACCTATGATCAAGTTTAATTTATAAATTAGGCATAGTAAGAGATTAACAATAATAATAATAAAATAGAATAACTGTAACAATATATGATAATAAAAGTTATGTGAATGAGGTCTCTCTTTCTCTCAAGATATCCTATTGTACTGCACTCACCTTTCTTCCTGTGATGATGTGAGATGATAAAATGCCTTTATGATGAGATGAAGTAAGATAAATGACATAGGCACTGTGACATAGTGTTGGGCTACTACTGACCTGATGATGATGTGTCAGAAAGAGAACCTACCTGCTTCCAGACCATGGTTGAATATGGGTAACTGAAACTGAAGAGAGTGAAATCACAGAGAAGGCGGGGACTACTGTATTTTTGAAGCCCAAGGATGGCAACTGAGAGTTGAAAGCTGCTGCAGAATGGGAAATTAGACTCTGTGTTCTTATGTCAAGATCTACATTAACTTGATTTTATTTTCCTTGGAGGGGAGGTCTGCCTCTCAGCTCAAACTCCTGAAATGCAGATGCTGATGTCTGGGCATTCATTGACTGCAGGTATCACAGAAACCACATCAAGCTGAACCTTGGAGAATATATCTAACTAAACCCTTTAGAGATATGTTGAGTGTCTACTCTAGTGAAAAGACTATGAGTCATTCCTAGCCATGGGAAAGTGAGTTTATCTGGATGTCAGTGTCCAAATCTCTTTAGAGCCCAGCTCACCCGAGCTTACCTCACTGCTCACTCTTCTGAACCTCCAGTCTTTCTAGGTTGTAACGAGGAATGTGAGGTGGAGATTTTTATGAAGTACAGCCTTGCTTTCTAGTGGACCAATATCAGAATGACTGGTGCTCCTCCTTCCTTCCCTCTGCTCCCTGCAGGATGGTGTGACTTCCCTTGCTCGATTCTACCATTTCTTAAGCAAGCTGTCATTCAAGTAAGCCATGGATACCAGTAAAAGGTAAGTAATTTCATCTAAGGGATTAGCAGATGAGTTCCTATTCTCCACTGTTGAGGCCAGGAACAGAAATGAGAAGCAGCTGATATATCAGAAAGGCCTCTGCCAAGAGTCACCTGCCCTGGATGTTCCCTGGCTTGTTCTTCACTTGCTCTATGGCCATGGACATCTGCCTCTCAAGGACCCAGTGTCCTCACCTGTAATGTGGGAATAAAATCCCTTCTCTACTGTCTGGGCAAGGTTTTTGAGAAGATAGAATGGGATGGTATATGGGAATATGATTAGAAAACTGTAAGGGCTACACACATGAAGACTATGCTTATTAAAGAAATTAGGGGAGATAGCTATCATGAAAATATTTGCACTGGATCTAACTTGTCCCTTTTCATCCTGGCTCCCATCATAATCATCAGAGTGTGGCTGTGTAGATGTTGAACTATAGAGAACGGCTAGCCCTCTCCCAAGCTTCCTCCTTCACTCTGTGACACCTCTCCATTCACTGTGAATATCTGGCAGTTTGGCTCAGGACAATGCCAAGTTCTCCTAGGAACTCCTCAACTACATTCTTCTCCACTCACAGCCCCAGAATGGCTCTACACATTCTGAAGCTCAGCAAGCATCCAGCTGGGCAGTGAGATTAGTGTTTCCCTCCAAGTGGGACAGGGGCAGTGGCAGGGCAGTAGCCTGTCTGGTTGCCTCTTCATAAGTCCCGTGGTTGCTTCTCTGTAGAGTGTAGGAACTAAGGGCCTCTGAGTCAGCAATTTTGGATCAACAGATACCCCCACTCAATATCCTCTTGCACTAGTTTTAACTGAGCTGCCATTTTTAGAATCTATATAATAGTGGCATCTTGTATAATTTGTAGATCTTGTAAAATTAGGTAAGTTTAATTTTGTGTTGGGGATGCTATGCCCTAATTCATAGAAACAAAGTGCCAGTTTCCTATCTTCTGCCCACTATGTGATCTCTTTAAGACACAGTGAAGCCTGGTCCCATTGGATCCAGAGAAGACACTGTGGGTAGGTCAGGGAAAGGGACCAGCTCTCCTAGATCCCTCCGCTGGAGGGGTGTTATAAGGATATTTAAGAAACTGGCAGACCCTCCTAGGATTTGCATCAAGTTCTCAGGATGACCTTACCTTCCTGATCCTGACATCTCCTCCTGTAGTTAGCAGAGTCCAGCTTCCCTACCCCAGCCTTCTCTTCTTCCACCTTCATAACTATAAAAGATGAACACAGCCTCAAAATATATACGACACAAAAAGGTAGGATTTCAAGGAGAAATGGCCAAATCCACACCCACAGTAGGAGACCTTAAAGCAGATGAAAAATTTAAGGCAAAAGAATATATAAACAAATTGTTGAAGTTCAAATATCTATCTCTAACAAATAAAGAACAGATCTCTCTTTCAAGTACAAATGGGACATTTATAGAAAGCACATATCTAGGGGCTCCTGGGTGGCTCAGTCATTAAGCGTCTGCCTTTGGCTCAGGTCATGATCCCAGGGTCCTGGGATTGAGCCCCAATCGGGCTCCCTGCTCAGCCGGAAGCCTGCTTCTCCCCT